TCAACAAATTTACTTAAAATAGGAACATAAGTGAATGGCCAATGGCCCTTCAGAATGTTGCTTGGGCTCTTACCGGTAGGGGACTTATGGATTGCTTGCAATACTATGATAATTGCTTGTTACCTATGAAAAATGTTTATCTTCAAAAATCTAGAGCGCACCTTAAGTTTAAAATACTGACGAAAAAGTCCGTAAGTTCAGAGCAAGAAAAAAAATGTGTGAAGCCAAGATTATTTGTGAGCAGGGTTTATATAACTAGCAGAGCTCACAGCTCATAATGTGTGATGTGGGGCTCACAGTTCACATGTCTGCGATGTGAGACTCACTGCCCACCAGTGTGAGATGTGCGGCTTTTTTATGTGACAACTTTGTATTGTGTGCAAAGTGCAAGGTGCTCTTAAAAAATCTTACTTTAAAATATAAGGAAAATATACATAATTCATATATAAATCACTCATTTACCTCAAAAGTTCTCTTTCTTGAGTTTAACATCATTCTTTGTAAAAATACGCTAGTTTAAACAATAATAAATACAATTTCAAATAGCCTGCCTCAGACTGTTGCTAGTAACAACCATAGGTGTTCGGCGCGTTGATTGGTCACGCACATTCCCCCCACCGCCCCTCACCCCACACCCACTCTAAAGCCCTCCTACCTCTCAAAACCATGTAAAATACAGTATTTTTCATTTGAAACATGCTTTAATATTTGGTTTATGCTTTTGATTCAATAACCTTCATTTCCTATGTCACAGGTTCATATACGTAGTATGGTACATGTTTATATGTGTTATTGTTTGTTCTATTAAATGTCCTATAGCTTTAATTTTCATCATACTTTTCATTCATCCCCATATTGATCATATACTAACCACCATTACGGGCCTCTCTATCTAACTTTCTACTTCATAATGATTCACTACACTACGCATGCGCACTATTTTGTAAGATTTTGATGGCGAAAGCCGCGATTTTCGAATGCTAATAAAATTATTTGAAAGCGCATAATTTGTGTATTTACAGGTAAACTGGTAGATTGTTTTGATGCTCTGATTCATTCTTTCCATTTTGTCATTCATCATTTTCATTGATATTTTGTATTTTGCACTATTTTGTAAGATTTTGATGGCGAGAGCCGCGATTTTCGAATGCTAATAAAATTATTTGAAAGCGCATAATTTGTGTATTTACAGACCCTCTGTCCAGGTCCCAAGTACTTAACCCACAGCGTCCATCAGAAACCCCCTTATCTTTTGGACTGCGACACCTACAAAAAATAAAAAATGATACATATATATTTAGTAAAGGTATGCAACTCGCCACTCAATTTTCAGCACTCATCTTAATATGAACTCCATAACTTAAACATTTTTTCACCAATTTTCAATATCTTGGTACCAAATGGTAGGGAATTGATTACTCTTAAAGGAAATAAAGCTGTCATTACGATCATTTCAAGTTATCAGGAGATGTGCTATCTCAAAGTCACCGCAAGTGTAACTCGACAGAGATCTGACCGCTGGGTTTTCTTCAAAATTACCCGACTAAACGGCAGTTTATTCGAAATGAATGAATATTTCATTTTATTGCATATATAAGTATGATCAAATTATATTATTATTTGTAATAACTGTTCAATCAAAACATCTTATCAAACTTTAACAAAAATTCAGAAATTTCCGATACAATACGTATTGCGATACAGACCAACGATACACAACACATATTGACGATACACTACAATGATGCTTCATTGTTAGGATGTACTTATTAAAAGTACTATTTACATTTCATAGATTTCGTAGAACAAATGGTTTCCGATTGATAACTAAAGAACCCTTAGGCCTAGGAACTTCAAACTTGGTATGGTGATTGGTCATGACAAGTAGATGACCCCTATTGATTTTGGGGTCAAAGGTCAAGGTCACATTGACCTTGTAAGCAAAACGGTTTCCGATCAATAACTAAAGAACCTTAAGGCCTAGGAACTTCAAACTTGGTATGGTGATTGGTCATGATCAGTAGATGACCCCTATTGATTTTGGGGTCAAGGGGTCAAAGGTCAAGGTCACATTGACCTTGTAAGCAAAAACGGTTTCCGATCAATAAGTAAAGAACCTTAAGGCCTAGGAACTTCAAACTTGGTATGGTGATTGGTCATGATCAGTAGATGACCCCTATTGATTTTGGTGTCAAGGGGTCAAAGGTCAAGGTCACATTGACCTCTTGGGTAAAAACGGTTTCCGATCAATAACAAAAGAACCCTTAGTCCTAGGAACTTCAAACTTGGTATGGTGATTGGTTATGACCAGCAGTTGACCCCTATTGATTTTGGGGTTAAGTGGTCAAAGGTCAAGGTCACATTGACCTTGAAGGTAAAAACGGTTTCCGATCAATAACAAAAGAACCCTTAGGCCTAGGGACTTCAAACTTGATATGGTGATTGGTCATGATCAGTAGATGACCCCTATTGATTTTGGGGTTAAGGGGTCAAAGGTCAAGGTCACATTGACCTTGTAGGTAAAAACGGTTTCGGATCAATAACGAAAGAACCCTTAGGCCTAGAGACTTCAAACTTGATATGGTGATTGGTCATGATCAGTAGATGACCCCTATTGATTTTGTGGTCAAGGTGTCAAAGGTCAAGGTCACATTGACCTCTTAGGTAAAAACAGTTTCCGATCAATAACTAAAGAACCCTTAGGCCTAGGAACTTCAAACTTGGTATGGTGATTGGTCATGATCTGTAGATGACCCCTATTGATTTTGGGGTCAAGGGGTCAAAGGTCAAGGTCACATTGACCTCTTAGGTAAAAGCAGTTTCCGATCAATAACTAAAGAACCCTTAGGCCTAGGAACTTCAAACTTGGTATTGTGATTGGTCATGACCAGCAGATGACCCCTACTGATTTTGGGGTTAAGGGGTCAAAGGGCAAGGTCACATTGACCTTGTAGGTAAAAATGCTTTCCGATCAATAACTTAAGAACCCTTAGGCCTAGGAACTTCAAACTTGTTGTGGTGATTGGTCATGACCAGCAGATGACCTATTGTTTTTAGGGTCAAGGGGTCAAAGGTCATGTAACATTGACCTTGTAGGTAAAAACGGTTTCCGATCAATTAACTAAAAACGCTTAGGCCTAGGAACTTCAAACTTTGTATGATGATTGGTGGTGACCAGCAGATTACCCCTATTGAGTTTTGGGTCAAAGGTCAAGGTCACATTGACCTTGTAAGTAAAAACGGTTTCTGATCAATAACTTAAGAACGCTTAGGCCTAGGAACTTCAAACTTGGTATGGTGATTTTTCATGACCAGCAGATTACCCCTTTCGATTTTGGGATCAAGGAGTCAAAGGTCAAGGTCACATTGACCTTGTAAGTAAAAACTGTTTCTGATCAATAACTAAAGAACGCTTCGGCCTAGGAACTTCAAACTTGGCATAGTGATTGGTCATGATCAGCAGATGACCCGTATTGATTTTGGGGTCAAAGGTCAAGGTCACTTTGACCTTGTATGTTAAAACGGTTTCGGATCAATAATAAAAGAACCCTTAGGCCTAGGAACTTCAAACTTTGTATGATGATTGGTCTTGACCAGCAGATGACCCCTATTGAGTTTTGGGTCAAGGGGTCAAAGGTCAAGGTCATGACCAGTAGATACTTGATAACCCTTATTAATTGTTTGATCACTGGGTCAGAAGTCATGCATAATTACCTTATCACATGAATAATTGGCTGCTGATAGGGGGCATACATGTTTTACAAACATATCTTGTTGGTACATTTGAGATAATATTTTGAAAATGACATGATGGCCCCTTTTTTAGATAAAACAATTATTTTGAAAAAAAATAAATAAAAAGCTTTATAGAGAAATAATTCAATGCAAAAATATAATTATCTAAATACTAGGAAAAGTTAACGCAGAAAATAATTAAAACATCACTATTTATTATGACAGGAGTCTAGTACTGTCTACAAGACAACTGTTCTAAATTATAAGATCTTTATAATATAATCAAATTTTTGTAGAATTTGAAATATACGCTGAGAAAGTATTGGAACGTTGAAAATTTTCTAACAAATCATGTTTTTTCTATCTTAAATGGTAAAATTACAATAAAAATATAAATATCATGTATTGATGTTGTGGTGTCGTAATCCATTATGTACAGGGAAACGGTGTTTAGCTACGTCTTCGCGCAGTCACATTTATTAAGTTAGCAAACTACATCTTGGAAAATCAATAAATTTGTAGGATTTATGTGTTTACAATATGTGTTTGATTAAATTACAAGTAAATGTTTTTGGTCTCATACAAATTACTGCCAACCTGAAAGTATTTTTTACAAGTGTTAGAAATTATAGGAGATTGAATGGCCGGATAAATTTTGTCACAGATTTATCTGTCATTTTGTGTATTGACACATTCGTTGTTCCACCTGAACTAATCATTGCAACCTTTCAAATATTGCTGAGGGCCTTCTTAACATTTACTTTAGAGAAAATTCCACACTTTTGACTTTCGTGCCAACATTTTAAAGACGATAGGTATAATATAAAGCCATCATGTTTATAAGTTACAATTTTTATTAAGTTGTCTCCCTTTGTATCGGTATAGCTAAAACCTGATAACCGTACCGTATTAAAAACTGAAAATCGATAAATACCGATTTACCGGTATATTGATCCAGATGTATGGTATGTGTTGTGAGATATATGGTATGTGTTATGAGATTTATGGTATGTGTTTTGAGATATATTGTATGTGTTTTGAGATATATGGTATGTGTTGTGAGATATATGGTATGTGTTATGAGATATATTGTATGTGTAATGAGATGTATGGTATGTGTCGTGAAATATATGGTAAATGTAGTGAGATATCTGGTATGTGTAAATTAAATAAATATTTTCATAATGAACATGTACATGATATTATAAGCTTACACATAACTGCTTTGTAAACTCTGTTTGAATGACATATTTTTCTGTTTTTAGATTGTGGGACTCCTACATCTCCTACAAATGGCGATGTATCTTATACATTGACAACTTATGGTAAAGGAGCCACGTATTCTTGTAACACTGGTTTTCTTATCAATGGAACAGCGACAACAACATGTGGTGAAGGCACCTGGTCAGGGTCTCTGCCGACTTGTGAAGGTATTCATTATAATTTTGAAACATTTTACAATAGATAAGCAACAGAGTTCATTGACATTTGTTATATAATTTGAACTCACTTATGAAATGAATTGTCTTTCCCAGTATTTGCTAACCATTAGAAAACTTGCAAATATGCCATCATTCTGTCCTCTTTAGAGTCACATTCTTTTAAACATAAATTATCAAAGTTAAGTGCTATTTCATAAAAATAATATAATATATAAGCCACATGGGAGGCATAATTTTTTTTGAATATTTTTTTGTGATGTTACATCTAATTTTGTTCCCGTCACTTTTCAGACACTGATGAATGTACAGCAGGGACAGATAACTGTGTCACAAATGCAGCATGTACAAACACAGCTGGAAGTTTTACTTGTGCTTGTAATACAGGCTATAATGGTGATGCCAGTACATCATGTACAGGTAAGGAGTTAAAACTTAGACATTGAATGATCTCCACTGAGGTCTAAAGATTAAATGCATGTTAAATGTTACTCTGCAATGGGTGTACTATAGCTTCTTTGTAGAGAATTAGCTGTGATTTGCAGCATGTTACTTCAATATTGTTATAATGATTATTTAGACCAATTACAAGGTTATTAAGTTTTTCAGCCTGCTTGTGCCTGCAATAATGTAATATTAGAAGCACACCTGAGTTCTGCCTTCACCAGTAAAGCTGGAAAGATGTGACCTATACATAGTTGGTGCCACATTAAACCATATAAGAAAAAAACCTTATGAAAGTATCAAAAATGTTTTAAAAGATGTTTTATTTCATCCAGATATAGATGAATGTACAGCAGAGACAGATAACTGTGATACCAATGCAGCATGTACAAACACTGTTGGAAGTTTTAACTGTACTTGTAATACAGGCTATATTGGGGATGGTACATCATGTACAGGTCAGTTAAGAACTTAGAGTTTGATCTCATAATTATATGTTTTGTCAATGTTGACATAAAAGCAATGATTTATTTATTTAACCTAGAATGGCAAGTTGGATTTTTCTTTAGTTCTACCTGTACCAATTGCTTCATAATTTGCACACTTACTTAAATCCATACAAAGTATATGATCTGGGAATGTTACATAACTATGGCTTCCATTTGCACACCCAAGTTATGGCCCTTTTCAGCACTTAGAAAATAAATAATGATAAACCTAAACCCGCAAAGTTGGAAATATCTTATGTTCTATTGACAACTTATGGTAAAGGAGCCACGTATTCTTGTAACACTGGTTTTCTTATCAATGGAAAACAGCGACAACAACATGTGGTAAAGGCACCTGGTCAGGGTCTCTGCCGACTTGTGAAGGTATTCATTATAATTTTGAAACATTTTAGCAATAGATAAGCAACAGAGTTCATTGACATTTGTTATATAATGTTGAACTCACTTATGAAAATGACCTGGGTCATTGGTCTTAGAGAGCCCACGTATTTGCTAAACCATTTAGAAACTTGCATAAACATATGACATCATTCTGTCCTCATACAAAGTATATGATCTGGGAATGTTACATAACTATGGCTTCCATTTGCACCAAGTTATGGCCCTTTTCAGCACTTAGAAAATAAATAATGATAAACCTAAACCCGCAAGTTGGAAATATCTTATGTTCTATTGACAACTTATGGTAAAGGAGCCACGTATTCTTTGTAACACTGGTTTTCTTATCAATGGAACAGCGACAACAACATGTGGTAAAGGCACCTGGTCAGGGTCTCTGCCGACTTGTGAAGGTATTCATTATAATTTTGAAACATTTTACAATAGATAAGCAACAGAGTTCATTGACATTTGTTATATAATTTGAACTCACTTATGAAATGAATTGTCTTTCCCAGTATTTGCTAACCATTAGAAAACTTGCAAATATGCCATCATTCTGTCCTCTTTAGAGTCACATTCTTTTAAACATAAATTATCAAAGTTAAGTGTTATTTCATAAAAATAATATAATATATAAGCCACATGGGAGGCATAATTTTTTTTGAATATTTTTTTGTGATGTTACATTTAATTTTGTTCCCGTCACTTTTCAGACACTGATGAATGTACAGCAGGGACAGATAACTGTGTCACAAATGCAGCATGTACAAACACAGCTGGAAGTTTTACTTGTGCTTGTAATACAGGCTATAATGGTGATGCCAGTACATCATGTACAGGTAAGGAGTTAAAACTTAGACATTGAATGATCTCCACTGAGGTCTAAAGATTAAATGCATGTTAAATGTTACTCTGCAATGGGTGTACTATAGCTTCTTTGTAGAGAATTAGCTGTGATTTGCAGCATGTTACTATGATTATTTAGACCAATTACAAGGTTATTAAGTTTTTCAGCCTGCTTGTGCCTGCAATAATGTAATATTAGAAGCACACCTGAGTTCTGCCTTCACCAGTAAAGCTGGAAAGATGTGACCTATACATAGTTGGTGCCACATTAAACCATATAAGAAAAAAACCTTATGAAAGTATCAAAAATGTTTTAAAAGATGTTTTATTTCCATCCAGATATAGATGAATGTACAGCAGAGACAGATAACTGTGATACCAATGCAGCATGTACAAACACTGTTGGAAGTTTTAACTGTACTTGTAATACAGGCTATATTGGGGATGGTACATCATGTACAGGTCAGTTAAGAACTTAGAGTTTGATCTCATAATTATATGTTTTGTCAATGTTGACATAAAGCAATGATTTATTTATTTAACCTAGAATGGCAAGTTGGATTTTTCTTTAGTTCTACCTGTACCAATTGCTTCATAATTTGCACACTTACTTAAATCCATACAAAGTATATGATCTGGGAATGTTACATAACTATGGCTTCCATTTGCACCAAGTTATGGCCCTTTTCAGCACTTAGAAAATAAATAATGATAAACCTAAACCCGCAAGTTGGAAATATCTTATGTTCTATTGACAACTTATGGTAAAGGAGCCACGTATTCTTGTAACACTGGTTTTCTTATCAATGGAACAGCGACAACAACATGTGGTAAAGGCACCTGGTCAGGGTCTCTGCCGACTTGTGAAGGTATTCATTATAATTTTGAAACATTTTACAATAGATAAGCAACAGAGTTCATTGACATTTGTTATATAATTTGAACTCACTTATGAAATGAATTGTCTTTCCCAGTATTTGCTAACCATTAGAAAACTTGCAAATATGCCATCATTCTGTCCTCTTTAGAGTCACATTCTTTTAAACATAAATTATCAAAGTTAAGTGTTATTTCATAAAAATAATATAATATATAAGCCACATGGGAGGCATAATTTTTTTTGAATATTTTTTTGTGATGTTACATTTAATTTTGTTACCGTCACTTTTCAGACACTGATGAATGTACAGCAGGGACAGATAACTGTGTCACAAATGCAGCATGTACAAACACAGCTGGAAGTTTTACTTGTGCTTGTAATACAGGCTATAATGGTGATGCCAGTACATCATGTACAGGTAAGGAGTTAAAACTTAGACATTGAATGATCTCCACTGAGGTCTAAAGATTAAATGCATGTTAAATGTTACTCTGCAATGGGTGTACTATAGCTTCTTTGTAGAGAATTAGCTGTGATTTGCAGCATGTTACTATGATTATTTAGACCAATTACAAGGTTTTTTTTGAATATTTTTTTGTGATGTTACATCTAATTTTGTTCCCGTCACTTTTCAGACACTGATGAATGTACAGCAGGGACAGATAACTGTGTCACAAATGCAGCATGTACAAACACAGCTGGAAGTTTTACTTGTGCTTGTAATACGGGCTATAATGGTGATGCCAGTACATCATGTACAGGTAAGGAGTTAAAACTTAGACATTGAATGATCTCCACTGAGGTCTAAAGATTAAATGCATGTTAAATGTTACTCTGCAATGGGTGTACTATAGCTTCTTTGTAGAGAATTAGCTGTGATTTGCAGCATGTTACTTCAATATTGTTATAATGATTATTTAGACCAATTACAAGGTTATTAAGTTTTTCAGCCTGCTTGTGCCTGCAATAATGTAATATTAGAAGCACACCTGAGTTCTGCCTTCACCAGTAAAGCTGGAAAGATGTGACCTATACATAGTTGGTGCCACATTAAACCATATAAGAAAAAAACCTTATGAAAGTATCAAAAATGTTTTAAAAGATGTTTTATTTCCATCCAGATATAGATGAATGTACAGCAGAGACAGATAACTGTGATACCAATGCAGCATGTACAAACACTGTTGGAAGTTTTAACTGTACTTGTAATACAGGCTATATTTGGGATGGTACATCATGTACAGGTCAGTTAAGAACTTAGAGTTTGATCTCATAATTATATGTTTTGTCAATGTTGACATAAAGCAATGATTTATTTATTTAACCTAGAATGGCAAGTTGGATTTTTCTTTAGTTCTACCTGTACCAATTGCTTCATAATTTGCACACTTACTTAAATCCATACAAAGTATATGATCTGGAAATGTTACATAACTATGGCTTCCATTTGCACCAAGTTATGGCCCTTTTCAGCACTTAGAAAATAAATAATGATAAACCTAAACCCGCAAGTTGGAAATATCTTATGTTCTATTGACAACTTATGGTAAAGGAGCCACGTATTCTTGTAACACTGGTTTTCTTATCAATGGAACAGCGACAACAACATGTGGTAAAGGCACCTGGTCAGGGTCTCTGCCGACTTGTGAAGGTATTCATTATAATTTTGAAACATTTTACAATAGATAAGCAACAGAGTTCATTGACATTTGTTATATAATTTGAACTCACTTATGAAATGAATTGTCTTTCCCAGTATTTGCTAACCATTAGAAAACTTGCAAATATGCCATCATTCTGTCCTCTTTAGAGTCACATTTTTTTAAACATAAATTATCAAAGTTAAGTGTTATTTCATAAAAATAATATAATATATAAGCCACATGGGAGGCATAATTTTTTTTTGAATATTTTTTTGTGATGTTACATTTAATTTTGTTCCCGTCACTTTTCAGACACTGATGAATGTACAGCAGGGACAGATAACTGTGTCACAAATGCAGCATGTACAAACACAGCTGGAAGTTTTACTTGTGCTTGTAATACAGGCTATAATGGTGATGCCAGTACATCATGTACAGGTAAGGAGTTAAAAACTTAGACATTGAATGATCTCCACTGAGGTCTAAAGATTAAATGCATGTTAAATGTTACTCTGCAATGGGTGTACTATTAGCTTCTTTGTAGAGAATTAGCTGTGATTTGCAGCATGTTACTTCAATATTGTTATAATGATTATTTAGACCAATTACAAGGTTATTAAGTTTTTTCAGCCTGCTTGTGCCTGCAATAATGTAATATTAGAAGCACACCTGAGTTCTGCCTTCACCAGTAAAGCTGGAAAGATGTGACCTATACATAGTTGGTGCCACATTAAACCATATAAGAAAAAAACCTTATGAAAGTATCAAAAATGTTTTAAAAGATGTTTTATTTCCATCCAGATATAGATAGAATGTACAGCAGAGACAGATAACTGTGATACCAATGCAGCATGTACAAACACTGTTGGAAGTTTTAACTGTACTTGTAATACAGGCTATATTGGGGATGGTACATCATGTACAGGTTCAGTTTTAAGAACTTAGAGTTTGATCTCATAATTATATGTTTTTGTCAATGTTGACATTAAAGCAATGATTTATTTATTTAACCTAGAATGGCAAGTTGGATTTTTCTTTAGTTCTACCTGTACCAATTGCTTCATAATTTGCACACTTACTTAAATCCATACAAAGTATATGATCTGGGAATGTTACATAACTATGGCTTCCATTTGCACCAAGTTATGGCCCTTTTCAGCACTTAGAAAATAAATAATGATAAACCTAAACCCGCAAGTTGGAAATATTTTATGTTCTATCTGAACTAATGGCTTATTAATTTTCACACATTGTACTTGATATTGCCAAGTTATATAAATGTGCCATCCATTTTCCCAGTAATTTCCCTTTTATCACTTTGAAAATAGGGCCTTGTATGGTTAACCTATTCCGCCAAGTTGGATTTGTCAAAATATTTCACCTAATTACTTAATTTATTTAATGATATCTTTCATATTTGGTAGGTGGATACCTTTAACAGTCCTCTAATTTTTTGTGGCGTTAGGCGTCTCAAGGTCAAGGTCACTTATGTGAAAAAATAAATCTAAACATTTTTGCTCATACAGCCTTTATTTTTAAGTTAATATCTTTCATATTTATAATAGTCATACCAAGGTAGGTTCTCTTCCTTTTCCTTTAGTAAGGGGTCATTTGGGTCAAGGTCACCAATGTCAAAAATAGATTTTTACACTTTTACAGGTGTATTAACCTTATTCTATAGACAAATGTCTTGTATATTTTGTAGGAACGTGAAATTGAGGTATTCTCATTTGGATGGAGGTAGGGGTCAGTTGGGTCAAGGTCACCAGTGCTGAAAATAGATTTTTGCACTTTTGCTCACACAGCCTTTATTATTGATGGATTTGTATTATAATTGGTAGGAAAATAACTTACATGGTATTCTTCCTTTGGATGGAGTTAGGTGTCAGTTGGGTCAAAGTCAACAGTGCTAAAAATAGATTTTTACACTTTTGCCCATACAGCCTTTATATATTGACAGATTTATTATGTCTCCCCCACCTCGGGGGGAGACATATTGTTTTTGCCCTGTCCGTCCGTCAGTCCGTCCGTTCGTCAGTCCGTCCGTCCATTCTTCGTTTCCGGACGATAACTAGAGTTCCTTTTGACCTACAGCTCTCAAACTTCATAGGATGAATGGTCTTATTGAGCAGATGATCCCTATTGTTTTTGGGGTCAGTAGTTCAAAGGTCAAGGTCACAGTGACCGTTGGTCAATTTCTCGTTTCCGGATGAAAACTAGAGTTCCTTTTGACCTACAGCCCTCAAACTTCATAGGATGATTGGTCTTATAGAGCTGATGATCCCTATTGTTTTTGGGTCAGTAGGTCAAAGGTCAAGGTCACACTGACCGTTGGTCAATTTCTCGTTTCCGGATGATAACTAGAGTTCCTTTAGACCTACAGACCTCAAAACTTCATAGGATGATTGGTCTTATTGAGCAAATGATCCCTATTGTTTTTGGGGTCAGTAGTTCAAAGGTCAAGGTCACAGTGACCGTTGGTCAATTTCTCGTTTCCGGATGATAACTAGAGTTCCTTTTTGACCTACAGCTCTCAAAACTTCATAGGATGATTGGTCTTATAGAGCAGATGATCCCTATTGTTTTTGGGGTCAGTAGGTCAAAGGTCAAGGTCACAGTGGACCGTTGGTCAATTTTCTCATTTCCGGATGATTAACTAGAGTTCCTTTTGACCAACAACCCTCAAACTTTCAATAGGATGATTGGTCTTATTAATCAAATGATCCCTATTGTTTTAATGGTCAGTAGGTCAAAGGTCAAGGTCACAGCGACCGTTGGTTAATTTCTCCTTTCCGGATGATAACTAGAGTTCCTTTAGACCTACAACCCTCAAACTTCATAGGATGATTGGTCTTATTGAGCAGATGATCCCTCTTGTTTACGTTTGTTTCAAGTATCATCAAAATCCTTTAAAGGTTTGAAGAATTATGGAGCAGACACAATTTCATTTAATTCATTTGTGAAACTATATATGATATGACCATCAAGTGCAATTACGTTTGACGCCCGCCTGCCATACGCTGATTGAATAACCAGGATTTTCAAAATTGAATACCTGGTTAAAAACAAACAGTTTAGGAAGCATCTTCTCATACAACCTTAACAATAGAAACCATCCATAGACAGCCTTCATTGAAGTGACTACCGGGTATTTACATTATCTTATCTCCATTTCCATTCCTGTTTCCATTCACAGTTATTCTCAGCAGTGGGGGAGACATGCGCTTTTTTACAAAAGCATCCTCTAGTTTCATATTTGGTAGGAAAATAAGTTCCTCAATATTCTTCCTTTGGATGGAGTTAGGAGTCAGTTGGGTCAAGGTCACCAGTGCTAAAAATAGATTTTTATGCCCCCGCCATATAATGGCAGGGGCATATAGTGTTACCCTGTTCCGTCCTTCCGTCCTTGCGTCATCATCAGTTTCCGTTCATTATCTTAATAACCCTTGCACATATTGAACTCAAATTTGACATATGGATATGTCATGAGAAAATACAGGTCAAGTTCGAAATTGGTCATGGTTCGATGATTTTTGGCAGAGTTATGCCCCTTTTACATTGAAAATAATATGAAATTTTCAGTTTCCGTTCATTATCTCCCAAACGGTTCAAAACATTCAATTCAAAATTGACATATGGATATGTCATGAGAAAATACAGGTCAAGTTCGAAATTGGTCATGGTTCGATGATTTTTGGCAGAGTTATGCCCCTTTTACTTTGAAATAACAGAAATTTTCAGTTTCCGTTCATTATCTCCCAACGGTACAACACATTCAACTCAAACTTTGACATATTGATATGTCATGAGAAATACAGGTCAAGTTTAAATTTGGTCATGGTTCGATGATTTTTGGCAGAGTTATGCCCCTTTTACTTTGAAAATTATATGAAATTTTCAGTTTCCGTTCATTAACTCCCAATGGTACAACACATTCAACTCAAACTTGACATATGGATACGTCAAAGGAATGCGCAGGTCAAGTTCAAATTTGGTTATGGTTCAATGATTTTTGGCAGAGTTATGCCCCTTTTACTTTGAAAATAATATGAAATTTTAGTTTCCGTTCATTATCTTCCCAATCGTACAACACATTTAGCTCAAACTTGACATATCGATATGCAAAGGAATGCGCAGGTCAAGTTCAAATTCGGTCATGGTTCGATGATTTTTGGCAGAGTTATGCCCCTTTTACTTTGAAAATAATATGAAATTTTTCAGTTTTCTGTTTATTATCTCCCCAACAGTATTAAACATTCAACTCAAATTTGACATATTGATACGTTCAAAGGAATGCGCAGGTCAAGTTGGAATTTGGTCATGGTTGGATGATTTTTGGCTGAGTTATGCCCCCTTCACTTTAAAAATAATATGAAATTTTCAGTTTCCGTTTTATTATCTCCCCAACAATATTACACATTCAACTCAAATTTGACATATGGATATATTTTTGGAATGCGCAGACCAAGTTCGAATCTGGTCATGGTTCAATGATTTTTGCAGAGTAATGCCCCTTTCACTTTGAAAATGATATGAAATTTACAGTTTCTGTTCATTATCAACCCAACAGTGTTACATATTCAACTCAAAATTGACATATGGATATGTCAAAGGAATGCGCAGGTCAAGTTGGAATTTGGTCATGGTTCGATGATTTTTGGCAGAGTTATGTCCCTTTCACTTTGAAAATAATATAGATACATCTTAGGAATAAGCAGTTTAAGTTTTGAATTTGGTCGTGGTTCAATGATTTTAGACAAACTTATCTTTCCTGAATGTTGGAAAAAATTTTGAACTTTCAGTTTCAGCACTCATACTTTTGTGGAAATGTATATAGCCATTATGTTGGCTACAAATATGCAATATGCTATTTTTAAAAGGTTAAGACTGAATAATTTCAGTGCCTTGAACATTGTATAAAAATGGTTAAGACTGAATAATTTCAGTGCCTTGAACATTGTATAAAAATGGTTTGTGTTAACATTGAAAAGTTTTAAGGGCTTTGAACTTAGAATGAAAAAAATAATTTGTGCAAACAAATTTGGAACTAAATATTATAACATTTGAAATTTTGGCTGCATGCGGGGGCATCCGTGGCATGAAGACACATTTCTAGTTTACACTTTTGCCCATACAGCCTTTATTTATTGACAGATTTATTTCATATTTGGTAGGAAAATAACTTGCATGATATTCTTCCTGTGATAGAGGTAGGGGTCAGTTGGTCAAGGTCAAGGGTGCCAATTACAGATTTCTACACATGATTGGTTTTCTTCATGAACTGCGATAATTTGCTTGCATCTCTTAGTAACAAATTGTTCTTTCTTATCATTTACAAAGTTAACAATTAATGAAGGCATTTACTTACCGAGTTTAATAGCTAAAGGCTTTTGAGAGAAATAATCAAGATGAAAAGGCTAAGATGGAAAAGAAACTGAAGAATAGAGTAAAACATGTTCAGGTGAGAAGACACATACAAATTAGCTACTTCACTCTCTAAGTTAAATTATTGACAACAGTGAGCGCGGGGGCATTTGTGTTTATCAAACACAGATTCTTGTTTCTATATAGAATATGACTGTTATCGATAAATTAAGTGGGTATGATACTTACGATTTCAAATGAAATGAAAATGAAAATTATCGCCGATTGTCTAAATGCTATATAACACTTGCTTACATTTGTGAAAACAAAATAACACTAGAGCTGGGGCGAGTATCCGAGTACTCAGATAATCACGAATCAAAATGAAAAATCGAGTACGGATATTCGTCAGTCCAGAGATCGTGGATCGCGATCTTATTTGTTTATATACATTCACTGTTTTTCACATTCTAAAATTCGATAAAAATAATAACAATTTAACTATGAATTATGTGACATTTTCCTCAATACAATTTGCTGATTAAAAACAGGAAGTAAACA